ATATCTCATTTCCTGTCACTGCACTGAGGTTTTGCACTTAGCAGAAACAATCATGGCTTGTATTTGATCTATGCTTCAAAGCAAGCATTGTGCTCCCACAAAGAAAAGTCTTTTTTCTGCAGCAGGGCCCGTCCAGGCCTGGTACCCAGTGGGGACAAACACTGGCATTGACCTGGGTTGTTCTGCTTGGTGCAAGCAACATCTGCAGGGTAGGGGCAGGCTTTGGGGCAAAGTGGTGGAGAGGGAGGGTGGTCCAGAACTGGTAGGTCTTGGCTGCCAAATGAGCTCAAATCCCACCCGTAGTCCCTGAAAAGTCAGTAGCTAACACATTCTCCCCACCAAAGCGGGCACTGGTTTCAGTAGATGGCTTTGGGGAAAAGGCCTGGTGACTGTCTTGGTTTCCCTTTTGGTAAAGATGCACTAGCTGTGCCTCCCTCACTGTCACACTGAATCTGCTCTGTAGATGATGACAAAATCTGAGGTGGTGGTTTGTAAGTACAGAGACTGTCACTGTGGGATGAACTCACGTGAGGCTCCTTAGAAAAGAGAAGAAATGGAAATCATAGTTAATCTCTGATTTCACCATTATGAGGAATCTTTTTGGATAATATGTCAAATCAGGAGAGTTGCACTGAGCCGAGAGCAGTCTTTACCAGACATTACGAAAGCTCCTTTCTTTGCTGTTACAGCCTCATCTGAAGCTGCATGAAATACAGCAAGTCACTTCCAACATGTCTGAGCAGGCAAAAGATGAAAAAGTCCAGTGTTCTTATAAGTCAGCAGTCATCAACCTGGCAGCTATAAGTGCAGGCATAGCTCAGCTGCTCTGTGCTGCCTGTGCAGGCAGGATAGACTCTAGTTCATATAGACAGCCTGGTGTTCAGCACAGGTGATGGGAATTGGCCTCAATAGCTGAGTAATTATTTACGCACTTAGTAAGATCGCATGTTGCTGCAGTAAGTTTCTACTGTAACCCCAGCAGCTGTGCTTGTGTGAGAGGTGCCTGCAGTGTAAGTGAGCCCTAGTGCACTATGCCCTGGAAAGCAGTGCTATTTTGAGTTTACTGCTCCTGTAGTTGCCTTTGCATCCAGTTATGTTAGTGCTTGAGAATATTCTTTAGCCCTCTGATCACTGCTTTGTTCTGGAAGGTGTTTTGGCTCTTTGGAATTTAACTCTTTTTAAGAAGGCTGAAATGAGTTGACATATTATTTGGAGGTAATTTTGAGAGGTAAAAGCACCAGATAGGGCAATTTACTGTTCCTGTCCTAACTAGCCAAGCGTTATTCTACTCAGACATCCTTCACAGCCGCCGCTGGATCCAGCCCAGCACTCCCACCCAGCCGCAGTTACTGTACAAACCCATTGTTCCCAGCTAATTGCTTCTGCCTGTAACAAAGTCAACTTTCACTGAATGGCAATACAACGTGACACCTAGCATCACGTTGCCTTCTGCCTCGTTCTTCCATGGCATGTAGCAACCTGATATGGCTACAAGCAAGATAAATGCACGTGGCTTCTAAAGGCAGCACAACTTTCCATTAAACAGAAAAATGCTAACCTGATGTCGTCTTTCCTGAGCCTTCGCTGCTGTTTGAATTAACAAGGCCAAGCTTGGTGCACCTGGTCTTCTTCTCTGTCTTCAGACAAGCTGAGCAGTATTAATTGCTTTATAAAGAACTAGTACAATGCAGTGGGGTAGGCTTTCTACAGGGTTGGAAGCACAGCAGAAAAAGCAGTTTAAATGGATATCCTGGGAAACCTTAGTCTCAGTTTAAACTAGGCTGGCTGAGCTCTGTTGCAGACAGCTTTTTTTTTTTTTTTTTTTTTTTTTTTTTTTTTTTTTTTACTTTCTACCTTGCCCTGGTAGCTAGTAATTCCCAGGCTTTGTTGGTTTCTCCTCTGCTTCCCCATGCCAGCAACTGCTCAGCAGTGAGGTTACCTTTAGACTTGCAAGTCTTAAAACATCGAGTCATCCTTGAGCAACTTTTCCCTCTGGTTGCTTTCACTGTCCTCCTAGGCTCTTGCTTGACAGCTACAGCATGTCAGGATGTAGATTAATGTCCCATTGTCCAGCACTTTCCTTAGGTTCTGGCACTGTATTTGCAATGTGAATGCAGCTGGAGCATTAAGAAGACCTCCTGGCACACTTGTTCCCCCAGCACTGCCCTGTCTGTCCCGGCCTGCTCCAGCATGTGCAGGTGAAATTAAAGCATTTTCACTGGAATTCCCAGGTTGTTGGCTTTTGTGTGTTTTGTTTTGAAGGATTACAACACAGAATCAAAACATGATTGCAGCGTGATTTGTTCTCCACAGCAGAACTACTGCTGCTATAAGTCACTTCCATTGCAGGGAAAATAACTTGCAGATGGGCCTACAGCCTTTTGAGGGCCGTTTGCATCTCGCAGCTCATATGACATCCATCAGCAGTGGGTATTTGTCAGAGTGAAAGAGGGAGTGTCCCTTTTGTATGCCTTTATGCAAATGTCTAATAAAAGAAATGCTGGGGAGTCCCTGGCACGTGACTCATTGTGACTCACAGCATATTGGTGATTTTGGTATTGTTTCCTTTTAGGCTGAGGCTGTAGGTTTTTTTTTTCCACTTCATTTTTAAAAGCAGAAAATAATTTTCTCCATTTCTGTGAAATGATGGTGTGTGCAGTGGCAGTGGAAGTTTCTTACACAAGAAACTTGTTCCAATTTCTTTGTAATTAGAGTGAAATTTGGATGCACAGAAGAATGATTCATCAGGTGGGTAGGAAGCGATTGGACAAGGTTTATAATATTCTCACATTGAATGTGAGTAACAAAATATCCTTAACTTTGTGAGCTAAGAACAAGAAGAAGCAAACTTGTGTGCCTGCTGTGCTACCAGCTCCCCATAAGCAGTCATCTGCAGCATTTTTCTTTCCAGCCTCTACAACACAACTCGTGTTCAAGCCTTCAGCTCTCAGCTACACTGAGTCTGCTTTTGGTCAGGCTGCTTGCTGTCTGCCCAGCTGGCAGTGTCTGATTTGATGTGCTGAGCTGGGGCTTGGTGCTGCTGGTGCCTACAAATACTAGGAGGTTAATGTTAGCTTTTTCACTCCATGTTCTGAACATGTGTTACTACTCAGGGTTTGGCCTGTAGTAGATTAATTTCATTGTGAATTATTCCCAAGTGCTTCAAAATTTCCCATGAGCACTGATTTCAAAAATGAATTTGGACTGTTAGCGCAAGTAACTTGTTAAAGTGTTTACAAAGGAGCAAAGATAGGAGGGTGGTAATCCTGTTTGACGTCAGTTTGTTGTGTCATTTTATGTAAACTGAATTTATGAAATCTCTATTTCCTCCTGTTAAAACTGGAGCTACTGCTACTGTCTCAAGAGAAATACTGCCATTGTCCATTGAGAAGGTTTGGGGAATAGTTCAGCTCTTGTGTGGCGCAGTAGTTGATCCCCTTCCATAAGTCGTATCACCATGCAAAAGTCAGAACAGGTCTGTGGAAAGGATTTGTTGTGTGCCATGTGTGCATTCTGTATTCTTGAAGGAGAGAAACTTAGAGAAGTGGCAGAGGAAAATGAAGTGGAAAAGTAACCACAGCTGGTGTAGAAGTTCAAAGAGTTATTCTGGAAGGACTGAAACTATTGCTGATTATTTTGTCTTACTGACACTCTCTAGGTTGAGTAGCTTTTGTTTTTGATTTCTCCTAGAGCTCATCTTCTAGGACAAAAGGAAAAGGCTTTAAATTATGCCAGAGTAGGTTCAGGTTGAATGTCAGGATCAATTTCTTCCCAGATAGAGTGGTGCTGCATTGGCACAGGCTGCCCAGGGAGTGGTGGAGTTACTGGAAGTGTACAAGGAAAGGGTAAATGTGGCACTGAGTGATGTGGTAGGGATGGGTTGATGGCTGGACTGAGTGATCTTCGGGATCTTTCCAACCTTAATAATCTCATGTGTTTCCAGAGGTGTTTTCCCTCTAGAACAGCAATCTCTTTACCATTAGTGAGAAATAACAATTTCACTTTACAACTCTAGTATTCCTGAATTTCAGTCACCTTTCCCAAAGAAAGAAAAAGAATTTCTTGGCTTAACTAGTAACTTTCAGCAAGCATATTGGAGCAAATAATCTGGCTGCTGCTGCCGATTTCCTTTTACATGCAAGGAAATAAGACTTTTCCATGTTTCTGATAAACAAATTTTAGGAAGAAACAAGTTGCAATTCTTCTCTGTGCTGTGCTCTGCTTATTCTGGAAGTTGTAGTATCTCCAGATTGGTTATGTTATGGCTGCTGACAGCTGCAGAGGATCCTTTTTCTGTGTCCCTCCAGGGATGATCTTTAGACAGCGTTGAAAATAATCCACTGACGATGCTGATCTGTGTGACCTGGAACAAACAAAGGAGAACACAAATACAAAGCAGGCAGAAGTCCTGCTTCTTACAGAAATGCACTTGATGTTTGAATACCCAGTGCCTTTTCTCTCCACTGAAGGATTGCCGAATAGGTGATTAAGAAGTCATTTTCTAAAGATGGATGTCTATGCTTTGGTGAGAAAACATCAGTCCTACCCTATTACGTTTGCTAGATTGACTTGATAGTTACCATATTTTTTTTAAATTCTGTTTGCATAAGATTTTTTAAATAGCCCTTTGAAGAGCTGCTGGCTAGAGCTGTGTATCAAGCTGCCAGCTCAGCTTTGGTCCTTGATTGTGGATGGTTAGGGTTGATGCTGGGAATAAACTGGAAAGATTTTCTCTTCCCTCTCTGCTAGTTCTCATGTGCTGCAGAGAGTAACTCCCATAAATAGAATTATCTGGGGGCAAATCAGTAGCTACAGGGGGCATCGTGTTCCCCTCAGCAAAGCATGGCTGCAGGACAGCACAAGTTGCAATGTGCAATATCATGCATGCAAAGTCTACAAATAGTCTGAACAATGATTTCCTATTTCTTCCCCTATCTGGATGCGTGATATCTGAAATCAATGCATTACTACCTCTGCTGCAGAGCTCATGTGTTTTACAGAGAGGTGTCCCCTGCAGTGTGCTGTGTGAGGCACGCTTGGTGAAGAGCTGCAGCACAAGAGATGTGGCAATTGCTGGTGAGTGCTGTAGTTGGATGAGGCCCTTGGCTTTCCCTGCTGCTGCTTCTAGAGGTATGTAGGCTAAAATAGGAAAGAGTGTGACTTTCGTGTAGTGTAGCTGTTCTATCTGAGGCAAGGGAAGGCTATTTCAGTTTGGGCATTAAATGTTGATGGGTGGGGTGTGGGACAATGGCTGGCAGCAAAGGGGCTTCATGTGCTTTGTGGGTGTGTGGGAGGACAGTGGAGCAGCATCAAATTTAAAGTTGCTTTTGATGTGTTGTAATGAATTGTTAGATTAGTAGTGGTCTTCTTTTTTTAAACTCTTCTTATTTTTACTTTGAAATGTCATAGTGTTTTAATATTGTGGTGTGTAACTCAGTATATAGAACAGTGATTTGTTTGAGAATTTCTTCAGATCTTTAGGGATGCCACAGTTTTTTCCTTGACAACATAATAATACATAAGGATCCATGTTGGATGCAGACTGTAGTAATTAGCTCGTGTGGGTATAAAGGTTTCCTAGAAGTTCTTTGAAGTTATGCCAGCTGACAGGGCCTTTAACTCAGAGAGGGCAGTGCGAGATGCAGAGAGCTGCAGGTTGCTTTTGTGGATGTTAGTCTGTAAAACTATGTGTGGCAAACGTTGCAGGCAACAGAGATCCAGCTGGATTCTGTGGGTTCAAAGACGATGTCAAGAGGCCCTGTGTAAACACTACAGTTTTGTCCAAGTATTCCTGAGGGCAATGCAGCGTGGATAAGCTGGGCAGCCATGCTCTAAACAAAAGCAGAGATAAAACTTATTCTGTAGTGAATGTGAGGATGATTAATTTTCACCTAAATCAGAAATCAATAGGCTCAGTATTTTCTTTTGAGTGTGTTGCTGCTCTTGTGGTGATCACCACTGGGTTATTTCCAAAAGCACACATCTTTCAGAGCCTTGTGATGTTTACTTTAGGTTTATTTTTACACAAGTCCACAGTCAGGTTTCTCACTTATTGGATTGCATTTGTGAGTGCGTTTCTAAGAATCTTTCAGAAAATGCTTCAAGATTTAGGTTCTTTTTCTTGTAGCTGTGCAAGTCTTTTCTAACACTTCAGATATATTTCCTTTATTTATTGCATATGCCTGTCCTTACTATGCATGCTTTCTCCCTGTGAGTAATACCTCGTAAGAGTTCAAGATTAGATCTTTAAACGAAAATATAATATTCCACGTTTGTCCTAAAAAACAAATGGCTACAGCACAACATGTTATTTACCTCTCTGTTTGAGACAACAAAGCTGGAAAAGAGCTTTGATGTTCAGCAGTAACTACAACAGAATGAAAGTAGTTTTTAGAACTGCTGCTTTCTTGACTTTTTGTTATCTGTTTATCTTTATTTGCATCATGTTTCTTAAGACAATTCTGCCTTTTATAGTCATCATTCATCTCCCTAAAAAGTTGCAGAACTACCTACCAGCTCCTTTTCACACTAGTGTCTTTAAGATCTGTTTAAGTTTTTAGCATTGCCACCAGCCACTAGCTGAGCTGGTATGGAGATCTTCACTCAAATGCCAGTAAGATTATACTGGGAGTTTGCTGTAGCTATTCTTCATTATGTTTGACCACATCACAACCCTAGTGAGGCTACAGCTTGGATGAAATCAGCTCATGGGGGAAGAAAAGCTGCAAAGGCAGACCAGGAGTGCTATCCTGGACAGAAGAAAGTGTTCTGCAGGCAAGGTGTGGTGTCTCTTGCTTTACGCTGCAAAGCCATGATTGTTAAATTCTGTCTGTAATTTAGGAGTACTGTCAGATCTCTGGGTGCTGCTAAACTTTCTTATAATAGTATCCACTTGTCACTCTTCTTCATATCTCAGTTTGGCTCAAAGCCTTAACCCATTTCACAAGTTTTGTCCAAATGCTCCCACAAACACCAAGGGCTCTGGCACCGTACTGTTCGATGTCTGCTGGGCATTTGTTGTCAGACCTAATAGCACCTGTTGGAGACAGGCAGGGTGAAAATGGAGGATGTGACTAGCTTTGTGGATAGTGTACCTTCTCTGTGGACCTTATTCTAAAGTCCAGTCTTTCTGCATCATCTCCAAGAGAGTAACAAAACCCTTCGCTGAATTTCTCGTGATTTCAGTACTGGTGTGCTCATCCTCCTCTCCTGCTCTTTCCTTGGCGTCCTTGTACCATCAAGTGTCAGAAAAGGGTTACACTGGATTGACTGTCACTCCAACTCAGCTGGACCCACTGTGGCTGAGTGCTGTTAAGGTCATATGCTTTCCTCTGGCACTAGCAATCCTCCCACACTAGCAGCGTCATTCCTGAAGCTGCAAAGGATTTGACTTTTTTTCCTTGATGTTAAGCTAACCCAGGAGAAGATTAGGCATGCACATGGCCCACAGTCTAAGCAGAGCTTGTGAGGACTTTGGGGAACGTGGAGCAGCAGGAATGAGTTTGCCTGATGTATCAGCACCTGGGATGGCTTGGTTCTGCTTTCGGGTCTCAGAGCCTGCTGCTGTATGAAGAACTGTGCAGCATCCCAGCCCTGCCCTGCTCCTCCGCTTGGGTTCTGCACTGCTCTGCAGAGTGCCTTGCTGGCTCCTGACCCGCCTCACAATGGAAAATTCTTCCATGAGCATTAGTTACAGGAAGCAAACGAACATCTCCTTTAAACGGCACGGCGTCACAGGGAGGAAACAGCTCATTTTGTGAAGTACACTGTTTACCGGAAAGCGGATGGATCATCTCCAAAATACACTTCACCGAAAGGAAGAAAAATACTTGAGGTGTTTCAGTTTTTATACCAGTGGCCAAATGTTATGTAGTTTATAGCTAACAAAATGTGCGTTTTACGTGGACTAAAGGTGTCCTATCCTGCACCAGGAAATTGGTAAAACTGAGTTTCAAGTTTAAGTAAAAATATCCTGAGTGTGGAGAGCTTGCCAAGATTCGTTTTACTGTGATACTCCATAGCCTCACTGAGCCCCCTGCAAGCTCTGTGCTTTGTGGTGAGGATGTGAAACGAACACATCATCTCCTAGTGATGCTGATAAATGTTGCACTCATTTTCCTCAATCATTACAATGCAGCAACTGCTTAAAGCTGGAGATGGTTCTTACACAGGGTTGGTTTCTTGATGGATTCGTCTGTAATTACAGTTTCTGCCAGCATCTCTTTGGTGTGTCAGTCTTTTTGGTCAGACCTCAGGCTGAAGGGAAAGTGCCTCATTCCTGAACTTGGGAGATGTGAGTAGGAGTGTTTACATGGATTCAGTGCAAGATTAGCACTGCTTTTGATTTAGATTATCTACATCAGATGGTGTCCTGTAACATGACGCTCATTCATTCAAATTCAAAGCATTCTAATTTGGCATAAAAAAATAAATGCAGCCACACACAGTATTGAAAGAGGAGCTCAGGCCACAGCAAGGAAGCTACGCAGCAAGGACAAGTGAACGTGTGCAAATAAGTGCACTGTGTGGCCATCAGCACTGCTTTTGGGGAAGTTCTGCCTGGCCGTGGGTGCAGCAAGCAGTACAGAAATGATTGTAACGTTCATTACGTGGGCGCTCCTTGCTATATACTGTTAACTATCTTCTTTTGATGTGTTAAACGTAATAGAAAATAGAAAAAAGGCAACAGAAACCTCTGGGGACTGAGTCTGAGCACCGTGAGAGCAAGCAGGAAAGCGTGTGCATCTTGAAAGGTTGGTGAAACACCTGAGGGACAGCCAGAGCTTCATGGCCATCATTTCACACTGTGCCAGAACACAGAGGATCCTGCATGTATCTATGTCTGAATCAGCTCTTTAATCTCTATCAGATTTGGCAGTTATCTGACTCTAACATTTCCAACGGGTAGTTGTTTGCATAGTGGATAAAAGCCTTCATTGTGAATCCAAAGACATTCATCTGTCTGCTCCAGAGGTCAAATCCTCAAATGGTTTGGTAATCCTAGCACCATCATCTTCATGTGATTCCAGTGCAACGTGGTTAGCAGTTTCAGCTCATGACTTTCACTTGAAAGGGCATCCAGGGCTATGGCCAACTCCTCTGGACTGTTTTGTTAAGCAAACTCTCATATCACTCGACTCTGCTTGACAATTGCAAAATGTTCAGCCAGTTAATATTTATCCTATTGTTACTAAAACTCACAATTCAGTGTGTCTTACTTCAGACAGCAGTATATATGTCAGTAGTAATTGCTGGCTATTTCCTGGAGCTAAATTAAAAGCAGCTGTGGCTTGATCTAAATGACTAACGGACATATTTCCAAAAGCAGCCCATCACTTAAAGATGCAGCTAAATTCAGCTCATATCACCTATCTGTTTGGATGGCAATTTAAACCTTAATTTACTACGAGACTTTTGTCAGTCCCTGGGGACATCCACCCACTTTAAATAAATGCATTATTTTGGGAAGGCCTCCTTGCAGTTTCTCAGCAGTGAATTTCCAGAGAGAAAGAGCTGTAGAGGCGTTCTACTAGCTGTAGGCTTTCCTAAGCTTTGAGAATGTTTTTGGTGCTCTGCATTAAGGTCAAGGTTTTTTTGGGGGGTTTATGTCAAGTTGTCTGCAAGAGAGTGTGAGTAAGCCCAGGCCACAGTGCAAAGGATGGAGAGATGGCTTTCATTCGTCTCCCTCTGGCTCTGGAGCATAATGCAAAAGAAGACCTGCAGCTGATGTCAGCCTCCTGAATGCTTCTAGCCCCTCAATCTCCATCTCCTTGCTCAGACCTTCATCAGGTGAGGAGTCACAGACACATCCATGCCCTGATGCCCATCTCCAGAGCTCACACGTGTTCCCCCAAGACACCCCTTGGCACGGCCCCTTGGGAGGAGGAGGCAGTACCCCCAGCTAGGGGAGATGTTGCAGCAGGGTCAGCTGTGTGCATGTCCATGCCATGTGGTTCCTGAGCTGAACAATTGGAAAAAATGACTGCCATAATGGGATGCAGGCTCATGAGCTGAATCAGCCTCAGCAGGGCTTTTGTTGTTTCAACTGTTTCTTGTATAGAAAGCTTCATTCTGTGGCCATCTGTGAAGGTTGGCTGAGGACCAGCAGTGTGGAACCCGTGCTGATGATTGCTGCTAACTGGGAGCAGGCCCTGCTGCCAGGCTGGGGGAGCAGGTCAGGCCAAGCCCTGACCCCGGCCCTGAGGTGCTGGGTGCAGGTGAGGGGAGGTGGCAGCTTTGCCACTGTGCATCACAGCTGCCAGCCAGCACTGCTCCAACCACTGTGGGGAATGGAGAGACGATGAGAGAGTGGCAGCAGTCAACCCGCACCATATGCTTAGTCTATTATGGTTTATGCCTATCAAATGCATGCAGGCTCTGCTGAAAAATGGTGGTGCAATTGTGCACCTGCCTGCAAGTTTCCTGCTACCTTCACTGCCATGCAGTGGATCTGGATGTTCACCTGCTGTATGGAGCCCTGTGGCACAACAGGGACAGCTGGTACAGGCTGACAGCAGCAGGGCCAGTTGGAATCAGACAAGTAATTGTCCTGCCCTGTTCAGCTGAAGGAAATGAGTTATCCAGCTTCAAATATGAGGAATGACAGAGGGAGAGAACAGACTAGGTTTGCAATTAGGGTCATATAGAAGGACTTGCTCTGCAAGTTTGTGGTGGGTGGCACATGAAGCAATGGGCAAGAGGGAGCTGCCACTCCTGGTTTTCTGCCTCCACTGCTGCAGGACACGCACTCTGTGAGGGCTGTGCAAAGTGCTGGTTTCCTTCACGTGAAGAATGGGCACAGATGCTTCTCTCCGTGCGTGACTGTCTTTGTAGCACTCTGAGGCCCCGTGGGAAGGAGTGCTGCAAATGTCAGGTATTAAAGCTGCAGGAGGAGGCCCGCAGCAGAAGAAATAATGTCTGGTTGCTTTTATCCCAGCAATCTGCCTGTTTTTGAAACACTTGAGTGAAATAGAGGTGGAAGCTCAGCCAAGCATTGCGTTTGAGCAGCAGCTTGTGTTTACAGTATAAGACTGTAGATGGGGAGTGTGTGCACATGAAGTGTGTGTGCATGTGCTGAACTGGCGGTGTTGTGCGCACACAGCAGATGCTCCCTGCGTGTGCAGCCGTGCTGCTCTGTGCCTGAGTCCTGGCCATCAGCCTGTGGTTTGCCTGGGGACCATATTGGTGTGGCTGCTGGCATTTCCAGCAGGTTTTAAATTATGGTAGAGGGGTCCTGATGTACATGGGGAAGAATTTGATTTTATTGTCTGTAGGCTCCTGTGCTGAAATCCTTGGGACCATCAGAATTTTTACAGCCAAGGTTGTGTCTTCTGCAGGTGTCATGGGTGGTAGAAATAAGGCGCAGAGCAGGGAGATGCCTTTGCCTTTAGTCCCTCGGAGCCTCTGCAGCCATGTGCATAAGCAGTTTGAGCAGCTCTTGGAAGGTGCTTGGTGACTTTGCAAAGAGACAGCTGCTCAATGAGCAGTATGTCAGAGTAACTTTGGTACATTTCCTTAAACCAAGAAGGGGCAGGAGCAATGTTTCAGGTCTTTGTGCTTGCTGAAAGAAACTTGAAAATGTGTAAGGACATAAGCAGGAAGCTGGGAGCCAAAGAGAAACTTACTGTTGTTCTGTAGAACTGTGACCACTTCTGGGATGGGGTGGGTATGAGTGGAAAGACCCACAGAAAACCACACAAAGGGTGATAATCCCCTTCTCATGGTGAGCACTAGTATTGAGTTGTGATCGACGCAAAGTTGTGTCCTGGTACTGCTGCCTCTCAAAGAATCACCTGTTTCAGACTTTTCCGCTGTCAGGCGTTGTTCAGGACTAAGGAGCAGCACAGTATGGAAATGGCTGCTAAAGCAGTAGCACAGTGCCTTCTCAGGTTTGGGCTGTCCATGATTGCTGTCCCTGAGAGCCTTGCCATGACCTGGCTGGAGCAGAGCTCCCCCAATGGCTGCAGGGCACCTCAGGAGGACGCTTCAGCACAACTCTGCTTCTGTGGAGGAGCTGAGAGCTCTGTGCAGCTTGAATATTGAAATGCAAACCTCATCACAGTGCAGATCTGCTGGCGTCCCCTTTGACAAACCAATAATCTGTGATAATAGGGAATTTTGTCTTCACCCTTAACCATCACCAGGCGTGCTTATTAATGTCTTCTTATTGCACATGGTTACATGGAGCCTTCAGCTTTTCTGAAAGCAGGAGGCATGCAGTTACCTCTGCACTGAGGGTGAGCTGTGCATTCACTGCTCCCACAGTCAGCCAACAAACCTCTCCAGATTTCCGAGGCCAGAATGTTGCTGCTAGCAGTTTCTCTCTTTACTCAACACTGGAGCAGATTCTCAGGATGAAAAGCTGGGCCTCCTGGAATCAGTGGGCAAAGTCCTGCTCATTGCACTTCAGTCAGGATTTTGTGGTTGAGCTCTTCATTTCTGAGTGGGCAGATGAAAAGGTACTTTCTTCCCTGAGAGCCTTTTTTGGAGCACAGACTGTGTAGACGTTCTGCTTTTGATTGCTCAAAGGGTGAGCATGCTGCCGGCTGCTGCAATCTCAGTAGCTTTCACTTGATGCCCTCATCTGATGAAGCAAACAGTGCTGGCAAGAACCGAACTCCTCATTCTCTTTGCCAAACATGAACTTTCCTACAGGCAGCCCTAATTTCTTCACAGGTATGTGGGCAGAGTGCTGCTCATGCACGTAATAGCAATACAAAGGTATTGCATGTCCTCAAAATACAAAGATTTGTGTCTGGTGGCTGCAGGAGGCTATGGCACGCCTGAGATCAACCATGATAGTCTCCTAAAACTACAGCCGTGTTTGCGCAATGCATATGGTCAATTCTCAAACAGGAAGAGCCTTGGAATTAGCAGCTCAAAGGAGATTTCTGACCGAGCATAGACAGAACTGCTGCTACGCCTTCTCTAATTTGGAATAAAAATTTTTATTGCTTTAAACGCTGCTGCTCATCGTGACACACATGGCATGAGCATTCCAAGGCACAGTGAGGAGTACAGCTCTGCCTCCCCCAGGACATGCTGCACTGCCCATTGGCCTCTCCTGCTTCTATGAACAGAGCAGAGTCATCAAAGCCAACTGCTCCAGAGGGCAAAGACCCCGTGCATCACTGGTGTTGCTGCAGTGGGTTGGCTTTCCTTCCACTGAGACCTGCCCTGAGTTGCTCTCGCTGTCTAAAGAGCAATTACACAACCATTTATCTCATCTCTCTTTTCTGCTGAAGACCTCAGCTGTACCTGTTTGGGGGCAGCGTTAGTTTTGTTTGTTTGTTTGTTCTTGGGGTTTTTTGCCCTCGAGAATCCTTTTATTTCCTAGAGTCTGTGATGTGCCCAGCTGCTTCTTTTTAAGACAACACCTGGATCATAGAGAACCTTAGAGATAAGTCTGGTCGTGTTGTTTCAAGTGATTTCCTCTTTTTCTTTTCATGGTAAACGTTTGTAGAGCCCCACTGAAACTCTGGCTGAACCTCTAGCCTGGCACGTGCTTTTGCCATTGGAGAAATCCTTCTAAAATGTCTCTCCTTGTGCTCCTGAAGTGCCAGCAATAAAACCCCAGGTGAGGGGGAGGTGGCCGGAGCCGGGCTGTGAGCTGGCAGCGCTGTGGGGTTGCTCACTGGGACCTGAATGCCGCCTGGTGCTACATGCCCGTGCTGTGCCTCGCGGGGCTGACGTGAGCTTGAGTCATTGCTCAGATCTGCTCCTGGCACAGCCTGCGTCAGCCTCAATCAAACAGGGAGAAAATAGGAGCAGAGGACAGAGGCTGGCTTCTCTGCAGCCAAGGTGTTACAGGCTCTAGCCTGGAGCTGGGCATTTTCTAGCAGCGCCTGAAGCAGGCAGAAGGCTGGTGCTGAGGCATTCTGGGCAGCTGCTCTGCCAGGGGCTGCTGTGCTCCAGGGGAGATGCTGGATGCTGGCAGTGCCCATGTACCAGCAGGGCAGCCTGTGCCCCTCACTGCTCCCCTCCGCTGGCATAGGGATGACCCCTGCCTGCTTCTTTGTATGGGGGCTGCTCCTCACAGCCCCATGGTGATGCGTGTATCCTGCACAGGCGCTTCCCTTCAGTTTCCCTTTGCAGGATGGCTTCCAGATTGAACTTGGGCTCCAGCAAAGGTTCTATCACTGCTGCCCTGTTTTGGTAAACAAACCAGCACAGCCTAAGCCTTTTACTTTCTTTCCCAGCGTGTTTTTCCTCTCTTCCTTTCTGCTGTCACGTGATGCATGCAGGGCTCTGCTCAGTCACGCTTCCATATATTTGCCCGTGTGTCTTCTGTTTTGATAGCAGTAATGCAAGGCCAGGATTTCCCATCTCTCTCTCTCTCTTGCCCCCTCCCTCTCTGCACCCCCGTTCCTGTGCAGATGGAGGGAAATGCCCATGAGAAGTTCCCCTGAACAGCCCCACGAAGTGCTGAACTGGGAGCTGCAGAGGTCTCATGCCCTGCTCATTTCCACTGCTCAGGCCATGTTCTGGTCACCATAGCACATGGCAGCAGGGATGCATGGCTCTGGCTTAAAGTTCCAATCTCACCATCACTTCTTTTGAATGGCATCAGCCCTGCTGTGCAAAGGAGATGAGGTATGGATTGAGGATGTGGCAGGAGGGCTCCAGCCTGGCAAGGATTCTGGGTCCCCTGTCTTTGTTGTCATAGGCTCACTGTCATAGGCTTTGTCTGTTCTCACCTCCTTAGCTACTGCTGGGGAAGCTGGAATTGCACTGGCAGAAGTCTGAATGAGCTCAGCTCATGAAACCCGGGCTTTTTGTGCCTCCAATTGGGAATCTGCCCAGATGCTGTCTTGGTGTTCAGGGGCAGGCTCCTGATGCAGACAAGACTTTGGCTATGAACCAGAGTGCAGGAAAGAGTGAATTATACGCAAATGGT